TCATCTGTATACGACTCGCGGCAGCCGTAAAACGCACACGTTTCTATGCACCTGAATGACGTGTCAACAATCTTGGTTATAAATACTGGTAGAAGCTCTTTGGATAATTCTTTTGATGAAATAAAAGGCGGCGATATGAACACCTCATCTTATCTTTATGGAAGAGGATGCACAAACCAAAACTGACTATATTTCTGTTGGTATTTGACACCCAAAAATAGCAGCCTATTTGAAGCTGAAATTTAATATAAGGACACTTCTAATAAATATATCAAACAGTTTTTCATAGTCAATCCATTAAACTTGCTCGACAAAAAAGAATCACATAAGACTACTATTTTTTTTCCTTGTTATATTCAAAAAATAAGGAAAAAAAATAGTAGTCTTATGTGATTCTTTTTTGTTCTTCCTCTTCCTTCTTTTTAAAAGTAAAATAGTTAATATGTGAGTCTCTTTGAAGCCGAGAGCTTTTACAATAGATTACTGTGATAGTTAGCGAGTAATTAATAAAAAATGCTTCTCAACCGCAAATCGCGATTTTCTATCATCGTTATGCACAACGATATAGATGGGATTTATCTTTTATCTTTACCGCTAGCCTCGGGTGTAAATACACTTACTTTACTAACACTTACTTTACTAATAGTTTTTATTGATCGTTCTACAGAGAACATAGTACAGTTACGATAACAATATTTTTGAAATTACCTGACTTTTGTGTTGCTTTATATTTGAGTAACGAACATATACCGCAATTTTGGCATTATATCCAATCGAGCTACCCGAGAACTTATCTCCTAAGATATGATATAAGATATATATAAAGATAAAAAGTATTCAACATTATATTGTGCAAATATATAATGCAAATTATCTTACCTAATATTCTTGGATTATTTAATTGAAACTGTCAATAATTTATATCTACGCGGCTTTAGAATCAGGTGATACATGAGTTCAATGACCCACTTGGTGTAATAATTCAAGACGTTCTTCTACGACAGTGAGATAGTAATGAAATAAATCTTATCAAATCACAATTTGAACCACTGAATAAACAGTAAAAAATATGTTATGTATCTTCCTTTTCTTAACAAGTTAAATTCTTTCCAGATTGTTATTGTTCAATGTGATTTATATGTGGCATTTGATTTTTTTTATTACAACATATGTTTCTATTTTGGATTTAATAAAATACTTCATTAAAATAACTCTTATTACATTAATCATAAAACTAGTTTTCTTATACGGGAGAATAATTCATGAGAAAAGATTTAATTCGTGTTAAATTCGCGTATTAATATTTGCCTTCTGAAACGAAAACATATCGATTCCGATAAATAAACAATGCCTTATAATTACAATAACAAAATATTTTGCAATATAATCGACTTTCATCTAAGAACGTTTGAAATTCTATATCAATAATTTCATTAGCGACAAACTAAGTAGGTATCCTTTATTTTAAATATTTAAGCGTTAAAATTCAAAGTAAATTGGTTTTACACGTTCCAAAAAATTCGGTAATTTTATACTCGTTCAGTTTTGACTAAGAGTCTAAGATATCTTTTTATATTTATGCATAACAGCTTATGGACGCATAATTTTTAAATCATAATTTTTAAGCATTACAACCTAAAGCATAAATATAATATTTTACCTTTAATATGGCGCTCGTCGACAGCTGATATTCAATTAATATTAGTCATAGTTCTGACATAATCTATGCGAATGTTCAGTTCTTTAATTTCTAGTGACATTATACAATTTAAAATTATGCATCAAAATAGCCTAAAGATATAGCTAAGTATTATTATTCCAAACTGTTATGTCAAAGAATATAGAAATTTAAGCATTATGCAGAATCTAAGAATTTCCACGAAGCCAACTCAGCGTTCTTAGTAACTGATGTAGGGTTCATTATGATTTTCGCTTATTAAAGTATAAAAACAACCAATTATATTATTAACCGCCATGTCCATGTAGGACATAGATTAGAAAAGATTGTCAAAAATTTCATTGACAAGACATTAAATAGATCAAGAAGATACTTGTTATATTTATCCCCCTTTTTTCTGCTTATATATTAATCGGATATAACCTTACTGGTGTAATTCAATCAATATCATTGGGCGATTGCAAACTCGGGTCGTCGTAAAAGAAATGGGTCGGCAATATCATTTTGTTATTCCTATAATACCTACGTGTTATGAATTTTCGATCATCAATCTGTGTCTAAGTTATACCTCCTACCGACTTTAATATTAGTAGAGTAGGGAACATCTAAAGGACACGTGTCACGCAGAAAATTGAATGATTAGTCTGAGTTTCTCTTTATTGGGAGGTATATCCAATTCAGGTTGTTATGTAATAAGCAGACGTGTTAAAATTTTAAATATATTTTGCATGTTTTGAATTAGCCGATTTTCAGTTTATTAATTGCTATATAGATCTGCGGTTAAAAACAAGAGTGTCTTGTGGTTTCACAAATCTATGAAACTATGAAAAGAGTATTTACTCGCACAAAAAATATGTCTTACAATATTTGATAAAAAAAAAGACTTAATGAATGGCGCGTGTCATGATCTTTTTAAATCTCCGACATTATTCTCTGTATGTACATAAATCATCAAACAAATCTTCCAACGCTTTTAAAAGTGGATATTTCGCGTCGTATTCTAAAAATTATTACAATTTTCCATGATGGTGATACCAAAACATTAATACTTATACTTAATTACGTAGGTATAATCGGTCTATTTCATTCTTAACATATATATTGTATACTAGTTCAGGTATTGTAGAAAATAACGAATCGAATGGTCTATGTCTCGAGTTTATACGACGTTTTTTTGACATAATTACAATGTTGGTTTAACATCGACAAATTTAGAACTTATTTAATGAAATGCTGTATATCAGTGAGATTATGTAATATTATTGCTGTATTTAAAGGGAAAAGACGTCTTTGAAATCTATTTGTATTGTTACAAATACAAAGAAAATTCACACAAAACTTCCAAACTGTTTATATTTAAATTATAAAAAAAATCCTTATATTTGTGTCTCTCTGACAGTAATCACCGTTTTATCTCTTTTCTCATGACCTTTTTGCACAATTGCAACTACAATGATGCGTAGTATTAAGGAGTAGTACTCTCTACACCGACATTTGATATATTGGTGGATTTATCGTGTCGTATGCTACTACGATATACGTCGTTTCCGATCGAACGTTATTAGTTTTGTCATAAGACATCGTATCCTACTCTCTACTGTCAAATGACAACGATGAATTGAATTTGACAGACGAAGAATTGAAAAAGAACATCCTATTTTCGACAATTCCAACTAATTAACATTTGGTATCGTCCTAAAATACGTTTTAGTTTTTTTTAATAGCTTATTTTTGATTTCTGTTTAATTATGACTATTTACCGACATTCAATAGGAATTCATTCCACACAAGAATAAAAAAGTCCACGCTTTAATATTATTTTAATTTTTAAATCAGTAGCTTTGAGTAAAATAGTTTTAGGCATAAATAATGGAGTATTGTCATGATTGTGAATGGGTACAACTAGATAACGACGATGCTTCAATCTTTTCACAACTTATAAAAAACAGGACAGACAACTGTTCTGTTTTCTGTGAATTTCAAACATAAAAATTAATACACTCCAGAAAATAAAAAAAATCAAGTACATAAATCATTAATTTAATTAACCACATAATAGTAAATAATAAACAGAAATTGTTTAAGGCCTTCACATGAGGACCTCAATCTCATATCCCATAATTTCGAGAACTTCTCAGCTCCCAATCTACCAGTCCAGCGCATAAACCAATATCAGTAATAATTTTTTAAAGCACTATTCATATTTTAAATAAATGAAATATTATATTAGTGTAAAAAAAAAGTAATGTACATACATTTAAAATAAACAAATTGCATAATCATTTTATGAATTAGTAACGGTACTATTGAATTTGATTACCTTTACCACTTGATATCGTTCAAAATTAATTGTAGTCAAAATGTAGTTATTAATATATGTATAATTGCTGAATAACTAGCAATTCTTAATTTAGGTATCTTAAACGATATGGCTTCTTTAAATTTTGGTTAATTTATTCACGCAATTTTTCTTCTACTTTTATTTTTATTAATGGCTTATCTGCACATTTCGCCAACTTATTATATTCTGCCAATTTAAGTTAATAAATTCATTTCTACATGTTTAATGAAATGAAATGAATGAAAGATAGCATTGTTTAAAGTTTGAGCTGTTCTGACGTTTGACTAAATTTTGAGACACTAATGAGATACATTTTACTCTATATCAGGGGTAGCCAACTTGTTTATACCCAAGATCGACTTTTCACTGACGACACCCAGCAGAATCTACCAATTACTTTACTTCTTAAAATCTTAAATGTAACAGCATAGTTCGTACACTATGTAATATATTCTTGAATTGCCACGGTCGACTGGACTAATAGTGGCGATCGACTGGTCGATCGCGATCGACTTGTTGGCCACCCATGCTCTATATCAAAGTGTAAATTACTCTTCTTTTTAGCTGTGCTACCTTATAATTTTGTACTGAAATTGTTATCATTCAATTATTTTTAATAAATCTATGGTCATCGCTCACTCCATCTTTTGGTTCTTGCCTTTAAAGAGCTAACGAACATTTTTGTCTATGCATTCGATAAACGATAATAGTTTCTATAGTGAACAAGAGTAAGTTTCGTCCGACATTCTCGAGGCACTGTTGTGTCAATCCGAATATATCGAAATCATGTTAGAGATGAAATAATGAAGAATTAAAACCTTATTAGAAACTAATTGATTCGAAAATTGTGAAAGGCAAAGGAAATGGACTTCTCCGTGCACTTGTAATTATTGGAGGAAAATTAAAATGGGAAGGACTTTAGTATATGCTGACAGTAGTTGTATAAATAGGTTTAAATCATTTTAAGTATATTGTCCACAGAGCCAAGCGATGCGCATCGTCCGCACAGTAGGTCAAGCATTTGAAGTGTGTCATAAAATTCAGCAATCAAACAATCCAGACCAGCCCGCTCCCTCAACCTCTTCAGCGGTGGACGAACCGGCGCCCAGCGGCATCGCCAGCGACGCACCTCCTCCCAAAGGTAATAAACCTTACCATTTGTTAATACTTTGTCCATGATCTTGTCTCCAAGATCAGAAAGTTCTATTTCAGTTCACTTCATAGTATTCCTCGCCAAGTCTATATTTAAAGATTTCGTCGAATTATGTCATATGAAGACAGAATTTTAAATAACACTTTTTTATCATCCTACTACATATATTGTCAATAACAAAAATAGTACGAGGCTGAAATACATTAAATTTGTCCTTGATTTTATATTTGTTATAGTTAAAGGTAACTTTTGTATTTGTTAAAGAGAATTAGAATTTTGTATGAAGCTGACTGTTGTATTGATTCGCTTATTTTTGGAATAAGTGTCACATTAATAGAAACAGAAAACATTTTTTATAAGATTTTTTTTTCTAAAGCTTGTTCAGAAATATAAACTAGCAAAGTCTGTCGGTGATCCTACAATACAAGTTGGAAACAAACTCATTGTGAAGTAGACGCTACTTTATCGCTTTTCTCATGGCGTTCCAATCAGTATTCGAGGGGCTCATACAAGCTGTACGCCTTAGTCGTAACCTAGTGAGTGGACAATCCAATTATTGCTTTGTCAGTTAGCTTAGAAACAGCGGGAAAGCTACTTGAAATATCAGACTGTGATTTCATGTGTAATTTTTTTTTAAATTCGTTTCTGACGATTTCTTAACAATCATCGCGAGAAAACGTAAATATCACGAAAATCGAGAACAAAAAGTTAATTCCCTTAAAAAAAACACAAGACAATTTAAAATTAACGAGATCTGCTGCTCCGCTCTCACTCTTCATACAAAATTCATTGCTAACATCAACATATTTGATATGCAAATAAGAATAATCTTGCTAGAAATATGTTTTTTTTTTATAATTACAATATTCTCCGAAACACAAAAGTGTAATAATATAAATCATACAAATATATAGTTAAAGTTGTAACTTGTATACGTTTCAATGACATATTGATGGAACATTTATTGGTGATTTCTGTATCTTTACAATTGGTTGTTTACGAGCACTCACTGAAGCTTTGTATAATCTACTTATATATCTCATAACTGCTTGCGACAGATTATTCCGTGTCTATTCATTGTGTGATATTGTTTGAGGATATCTGGCTAAGCGAATTCGTGTTGTTTCATTTGTTAGGCAACCGGCGAAATGAAATGCGAAAGTGACTTTGCGAGAGCTTGCTTATATATTAAGTTTATTGTTAGTATACATGATGAGTTACTGTTTTGATTTTAGTCAAAGTAATGAATTTGAATTATTTCCTTGATGTTGGGTATTTAAATAATGATTTAGTGTTTACGATAAAGTGAGCTGGAAGTATTTGTTTATCCTAAGCTATAGAAATATCAGAACCTTGATGATTATTTTGTACTATAAACACCAATTTATTACATTCATGACCAATGCCTTTTACGTTTTTTAAAACAATTTGCATTTAAGGTATGTATTGTATTATTCTTTCTTCAGAAATAAACTTCTTAAAAAGTATTTCAATTGAAGCCCTTTGAAGTTTTCTTTCTGAAATAAAACTCAGTCTCCGCATGTTTTACAGGTAGAATTGGAAAAAGAAGCCTTGTCGGTAACATTGTTACTTAGTCCTGCCAACAAATAAATTTCAACTTAAATTTTCTTAACCTTTTCATTATTGTTTATATTTAAACTTAGAGGTTGTTTCAACACATTTACTTCGCTGACTTAAGGGTAGTAACAAAATGAAATTCGTCAACCAATTTATGCGAATAATCATTTTTCGAGTTTCTCTGGCCCAGAAGTTAGCGCGTCCGCAATGCGGGGGTTAAGCTACTTTCCAAGAGCCAGAAATGGGATGGGTGAACTTACAACCTCGAGCTCCTCCCATTTTAAGAAAGTATGTACGTTAAGCATTAGTCACGGTTGCATTTGCAATCTACATTTGGCCCGGGTAATATGTTATGATGAACCCTTCTCGCTATTTGATTCTATCCTTAAGCAGGACATGTCTGGAATATATTTTTGGTTCAATGAATAAAACTGGTTCGGTAAATAGATGGCGCAAATGTTTTTAATTAAATCAAATTCAATTCATATAGCATATATATGTTTTTCGCTCATAACGTAATATTATTAATAGTTCCTTAATTACTTTTTGTATACCCTTATTTGCCTAAATGAAAAAGTGTAATAGTAGTTTTATGATGACTAAATAAATATTGCATCGTTTTCGCGATACTATTCGCCTTAAAAGGATTTCTTGAAAAGATTGCGAGCTTTAACTTGTTTATGTACAATACTTCGAATACTTTTCTTGTTCATACAACTTTCGCGTACTTGTGAAATCTCAATACTTTTTCTTTAAGTTTGTTCACAGTTGTATAATTTTTACATTGATATTGTACTTAATATTTTAATTTTTATATTTTGTTTAAATATTATGAATTTTACATGACTACCCTTAAAACATATTATTTTTATGTATATTTGGGTTTTTTATTCTACTGTAACCTACACACAACTGTAACTAACATAAAATTAATATGTGGATGATCTCACAAGATTGTAACTTTTTTGAAAAAACGAGAACTGGAGTATATTATTTAATCTACTTTCTATATACATATTACAATACAACTAACATATATGCATATTTAAATATAATAACATTAACAATAAATTATCCTACGGGAAATGCAAGTTAAACTGACTTGAGCAAATTGGTGCAACATGTATAAATATAAATGTTTGTGACGATTATAAGCTTATATTATAATAATGTATACATATAGAAAAGGAGATGTCCTGGCTTACTGACTGATAGACGACGCACAGCCTAAACCGCTGGTCGTAGGGCCTTAAAATTTTGAGGATACTTTCTTCTTATTATGTAGAGGTGTACTAAGAAGAGATTTTTGGAAATTTCACTGTTTCTAAAAGATTGAAAACTTTTCTTTATTTTCGGATCTATATCGATAAAAATTGGTAGACGTTATGCAGGTCATTAAATTGTTACCATAGCAACCATTGTTTACAATTTGATTTCTCATTGCATTAAATCTATATTATTTTAAAAGATTTCCTAATATTGTGATAAAAATTGATATTTGAATATATAAATGATAACAAAAATAACATTATAAATAAATATTTTTGAATATATTCAAATACAAATCACAAACTATAGTTTTTGTGCTGTACTAGATGGCGTTAAGTATTTCGTCATAGTTGTGTGTTCAAATAAAATTTAGTAAAAACTTTATGCTTTGATTTACTGATGAGTCTCTCGGTAATGTAGTAGATAAGCGCCGCGACTCGCGGTCGTTGTTGTTATGCAACTTTCGCAAGGCTCGGTCACAAGATGGGTGACCAAAAAATTTTTATTTCAAACTACTCCATGATTCGGATGATACTCAGCTGATAGACGTTTAGCTCGTGCAAATGAATGGTGTCGTTCTATTATAGGGTTAGCCGACTAGTTGGTTCTGGTGCCCAGTTGGCTACGTCATATCCATTAAATATTAACAGTTTAATCTTTTAATTTCTGTTTGACAGCTGTGAGATTAAAAGTCGACCAAGCAATTGTGATTTATATTGTTCTTAGTCTTATTTCGGTAACTGCCTGGTAATCTATTACTATAATAACAATATAGTGAGATAATTCTTCAGAAATATTGTATTTGTACGAAATACAGATCTTATCTCCACAGCTATTTAGGTGCAAGTAACTGAAGTGTCTTAATAATTTGTTTAATTTTAGATCATCATAACATTACCTTTTTATAATCTCTTTTTCTTAGCTGCGGGCGACGTAGAATTAGCTTTTATGTATTATTTTATGACATCCGACTCGACGCAACCATACGATATAGCTGTTTTATGGACTACGTCATAGTTTATTACTAATGTTTCTATGTACAAAATACTGGCTAGTATAAATAGTTTACTAATTATTTAATTGTTGTATTATGTTATATAACGGAATCTTAAAATCTAAAAGAAAATTTTCAATTATCATCCATGAACAGTCGCCCGGATTGAGAAAGGTCATGGGTTCGAGTTCCATCTCAGAGTGCCAGGGACAAAGTGGATTTTTAACATATTTCATTAAGAATATTTTTCAATATAGCATTATGAATGCAAAATTGATCAAATATATAATATACATCGTGCTATTTTTAGTTTTAGCTAAACTTTTTTTGCTGGGAATTAACGATTTCCGAATACGAGCACGGAGAAGCTCGAGATAAAGAATATTTGCTCACCTGTACTATGACCGGCCCTTAAAGGTTGCTTAACTTAACTGCATTTGAATAATGTATTAAATAATAATGTATGTGTCTAAATAATGTATTAAACTTTAGTGCTAATGCTCACGTATTAAGGTTCTCGAGATAACAATTCATAACACATATTTACCAGTATTCTAATATAGGTTTAGGTGCCGTGGCCCATCTTGTTATACATGTTGTTTATAATAAATGGAAGTCCCTGTGGAGATTTGGTATTATATTCTAGACCGCACGCATGAGGCGACGTTCAAAGGCTCTTATGTAAAGCTTGATGTTTAGAAGACTAATGTTATCCCTGAGTGCTCTATTAATACTGGTTGTATTAGGGATTACGTATGTTTCATATACTAATTATACTATAGGTATTAATACACATATATATACGCTGGATGATATACCTATATATATATATTATTCCGCTAGCCATAATATACATGACTCTATATATAAATTTCTGGTAATATTAACGGGCGTAATTATAGAAAGTCAATAAAGTCCCTTCAATTACAACCTTTATGATACAGTTCTTGTTACTAAATCAAAAATATTAACATATCGGTCATCATTGATTTTTTGAGGAAGATATTGCACTGCCATTACTGGCAGATTAATAAGGGATGGGCTCTGAAACTATTGGAATGATTTTGAAAATTCTTGAGCGGTTTACATGTGAACTAAAATGTACGTGAGCGAATTTGCATGAAGACAGTTAATTATGAATACTTCTGCAATTAAATGCAATGAGCTCTTTTCAATCAATAACTAATTATTCAAATTCTGAACTTTGTAACCAACATTGTTTGGTAGGTTAATAATTGTCAAAACATTCTCAGAACGTCTATAACGTTTCGCAGAAGATATCTTGGTAAAAATTTTGTAGAAAATACTGGTGCATCTAAACGTAGATTGAGAGGACGGAGTCTGATTTGAAACAATCTAGATAAGACGCGGTTATGAAGTTGAAAAGCTTTTGGCATCAAATTTAAAAAGTTAAATCACTTTAGACTTTTAGTGATCATTAAACAAAGATATTTTTTTCTTCTCTTATTCACGATAAAAGTGATAGGAGGTCGTCAAAAACTTTCTGATTGTTGATCAATTTGATTGTTGCATTTAATGGAAATATACACATATCTTTAATATTATCTTTTTGGTGTGAAGTTTATTCGAACATATACATAAACAAGTTGAAGCACATTTATGTCGTTTCTGCTAATATCTAACAATAATTTAAAGTTAATGTCTGCAACAACCGTTTCAATCGTTTTAAAATACATCTTTAACGATTAACTTTGTTGGCTTAAATTTTCCATCTTTAAGTATAATAATAATATATTTTTAAAATTTAAATATGTATAACTATTTATTGATCTATATTAAATTATTTATATATGATATTGCAACCTTAAATACAGACTCAACAGAGATCTTTTATAAAGGAAATTTTAAACAGTACTTTTCCTAACATATTGATTTTGCACGAAATTATTATAAAACAAACATAATATAAAAAGCTACTAAATAATCATCAACATCAAAATATTGAAATTGATAATATATCAACGGCAGAGCCGATACAATTTAAATGAACTCACTTTTGATAAACATTGAGATATGTTTCGATAAATAAATTGTTATGTATTGAAACTTTATCCTATTTAATAAAACATTACGTAATTATATATTGTATATAAGCATGACTTTAATAACGAAGAACGAGCCTTATAATCAACAGAAGCGGCTTCAGATTGTGCCGTGTCGGAAGCTGGTGGTGCGTCTACTTCGAAGGCAGCAGAAGAGACTGCGGCTCATGTGCTAGAACCATCCAGACCTACCCATCTCGACTTCCTACCGCCGCCGCCACGTAAAGATAGAAAAAAGTCACCACAGGTAAGCAACACTACAGACGATATTAGAGATTCCATCACCCAATCGATAACTCTATAAAGTAGTTTTTCTTTCATTCTGTTTTTTAAATCAACCGCATTACGATTGAGCTTTTATCTAGGTAGGCTATTTATACGCTGACCTAAACTAATGCTACAAATTAGTTATTGAAAGCCCCACCCACGTCTCGTTGGGTGAGTACTTAATACGTCCTTACGCAAATAATAAAAAAAATGCGTGGTCTCCACAAAATATTAAGTAACTGTTTAAAAGAAGATTTTTTAAATTATTGTATTTGTAAAATTAAGCTATAGTTATTTTTGTATAATTAAAAGAAGATTTAAAAAAGAACCAAATTTTCGACTTCAGTAGGTATAAGGGTACATTTGAAATCGCTTTTCATTTGTAGCAAGTGTAACTTCACTGACGTCGCAGAACAGCTTTTTTGCGACGTCATCCGATTTGGGAGAATCGAAGGTTGCCAATATTTAAACTAGGTTAACGTTACCTGCGTCATGGCCACTTGTGCTGCAAAATTCACAGTTGCATTTTCTGTAATTACTAAGCTTATACAATTAGAGAAATAATGTGTTACAATATTAATTAAGTTTCAATATTCTAGGTTTATTCTGAAAAACGAGTAGCTCAGTGGCGTAGTGGCTAAGCGCTCGTTGTTGTTAAGCAACTTTCGCAAGGGTAGGTCACGGGATGGGTGACAAAAAAAATATTATCTCGAGCTACTCCGTGCTTTGGAAGGAACGTTAAGCCGTTGGTCCCGGCTGCATTCCTATCCGCATTTTGCCAGCGTGGAGGGTTACAGCCCATCCCCTTAAACATCTATAAGGGGACGTAAAGGGGCTGATGATGATGAAAAATAACCAGGTGTTATATCTGAAACCAGCCATTTCAGAAGTCCCGAGAACGATTCCTGGCATTATTACCATATCAACAATAAATAAAATGAATATTCTATAATACCTCAGATCTGGCTAATTGTTGTAACTTCGTTGTTTCATATTTGCAAAACACATAAGCTTATCATTATTATTGACAAAATATCAGTTAATTGATTAATAGCTTTTTTAAATTCCGCTTATCATATCGTCAAAAATTCATTTATACTACAACTTGTTCTTCTAATAAAATAATTAATACATCTGAAAATCACAATTAATGAGTTTTTATCGTATATGTATGTGAGTATGAAAGTTGATTAACATGCCAATCGTCAGCCAAACTAAAAACTACGTTGTGGTATTGAAACATATTTCGTTAATTTTGAAAATCATAATGGAACTGTTGAATATGTAATACATTCTATCAACAGACCACCGACAAGCGGTTGAAATGAAACAGGCCAGTAACCAAGCAATTTCGCGAGCATTAATTATGCGGTTACATTGAGTCTAAATTAAAATTGGAATGCTTGATGGCAAATTTAAAAGGTAAAACTCCAATTTGTTTAAAAAAAATTAACGTTATTCTCTTGGGAGAGGGTTTGAAATTAAGGGATCATCACATTATAGTTTTTCAAATACAACAATATGCAGGATATTATATTTCTTACAGATTTTCATGAGAGATGAGATATTACATATCAGAACTGAACGAAACCAAATAAAAGAGACTTAATTGACATTATTTTAATGCGTTACTTTTCGAAATACGGCACCAAACGGTTTTATTGAAATCAACTATCGATGTACATAAAATTGGATTGGTCTCCTAGATAGTTGGATCGTACTCTTTTTGAACTAGTTATATATTCAGAAATAAAAAAATACACGTAATAAACATCTAGGCATTTTGTCTTTCTTTTGTTTTAGTAGTAGAATTAAACCTTGACGCGATTGTCTAACGCTATCGTAATAAAATCTAAACCATTACGAAACAAATGGAGGTGAGTACTCCAATGGCGCCTTTTATGCAGGTAATGCTAGCCTGTGCACTGTCAGGAATTTTAATTTTCTCTATTCCGGACCGGTATTTTCAGGTCCGTGATGGCGGCAATGAAAACCGTGTTTACGCTTGTGCATTATTGTGTTCGCGATCCGGAAAATTCATGAGCCTGCGGAGTAGGCTTGGGAAAAAATAATATATTTTTTAGTTCTAATTTGATCATCTTATGATTCTGCTATTGATACTTTGCTAGATTCTAGAAAAAAAAAATTGTTTTAGTCGGTCTAGCTTTTCGAGAGTAGACTATTTTTGGGAGCAAACACTTGTTGTAAAAACTTGTCAGTTTGGGCACTTTGATTATATAATGTCCGGATTGCGTGTCCATACAAAGCGCAACGATATACAGTGATATACAGCGCGATAGTTTAAAAGTGGAAATTTCCGATATATTGATAATCGATATTTATTGTAATGTTTGTATATAATTCGATACTTTGAATGATGATTTAACATAGTTGGTTAATATCACTGCATATGCGTTGACAAACTGACGTATGGTTATAGTATCGATGCTTTGCTAGATTCTAGAATCATACTGAAAGTATCTATCCCAAACAATATCGAATCAAAAGTATCAATAACTTAAGGTAAGACAAATAAGAATTGGTACGCTTTCACGTCTAAACAAATGAACCCATCGTAATGAAATTTGATACATAATTAGACTTAGCCTTGAAAAAGGACATAGGCTACCATTTATCGCGAAAAAGAGGTGGAAATAGTGGATGAAAGTTTGCATGGAAATTTGTCATTATCAAATTTTGGTTTTAGGCATTGATAAGTACAAATAAATATTTGATAACAGAAGTAATAATTAAAAAGAAAATGAAAAAGAAGATACTCGATGTCTTTTTCGTATTTATTTTAATAAAATTTGAAATTACTGTTTATGTCATAAATAAATTAAAACAAAAGAAAAGAAAAATAATTCTGCTCAAAGAAACTATACCTCGCGTATTAAATTGTACCTATATATTATATAATACAATCAACTGATCTTACATGTATTATAGTTAAATCATGACATTTAAAACTTACAATAAGATTCCTGATTAAAATGCCATCATAAAGTTCATTTAGCGTATTAATTCTCAGCTTACACGGCACTAATTTCGATTTGTTTACGAAATGGCGCCAACGATTGGTCTATCTCTGTAATCGCTTATAGTCGTTTTTTCAAAACTTTGAACAAAAAAATAGCACGTTTATAAATTTAAAACATCGAGTACTAGAAAATTATCAGTAATTTTATTCTAATGACACAGATATTTTTAGCTATTGTATGTGAATAATGCTGTTCCTAAAATTAGTAAGGGTACAAGTTTTTACATCTGATAATAGTCATCCGATAGTAGTAAAAAAAATGCTTTCGTCTTGCCTCAATTTATTATGGTTTATGTAAAATGATCAGGTCATTATTTAGCCTACCTCTCTACTTCTTCGCACGTAGAGTAACAAAGCAAGCAAATACTGACGTACAAAAAATCTCATCGCACCTAGCGTAAGTGACGTGTAGCTTCAAAGAGAGTTGCCCTACACTGCGCCGCTCCGATCAGGAAAAAAACGGACAAGTGCACAAGCTACTCATGCGGGTTTTTCATGTTATTCCGGACCGGAAAAAATCAGACCGCTGGACCTGAAAATTCAGTGTAGTGCACAAGCGCTGTAAGTGTATGAAGACCGGAACCATCTGCATAAATCCATCATTCATAGTGTAACTGTGACTGATCATAGGTGACACAAAGCTTGTCGCGGTTCATCAACTAAAGACAAAGGCTCAATTTCAAATTAGTTTCGCATCTTTTAATAAATTGTATTACAATTTGAAAATAATGTACTTTTTACATATATGTAATAAGTAATCAGCATCCAACCATGACATAGTAATTTATATGCCGATATTGGATTTGTTTACATCTTCACTCCGTTTGTTGTTGTTATTTAATAAACGGTTATTAATATTGCTGTAAAGTTTAAAAAGAAATGCATATTTTAAGATAAACAGAGATTTATGTTTCAGTGCTTCTAATACAATGTCGTTTCTACAATAATGTTACAACCATATTAGAGTTTGTTACTAATGCTACTTCTGGACTTGCAAATCATCTCTTTTATTGAGAAGTATTATTTTTACTTTGAAGTTGTAATATGACGTAAAGCTCTAATTTTTATGGTTCCGTACCCAAAGGATAAATCGGGAACTCTATAACTAAGAATTCGCTATCTGACTGTCTGTCACCAGGCTGTATCTCATGAATCGTGAAAGTTAGACAGTTGAAACTTTCGTAGATGATGTAGGCGTTTCTGTTGCAGCTTCAACAACAAATACACCAGAATAAAATAAATATTTAAAGGGGCTTTCATACAACAAACGTGATTTTTTTGCTCGTTTCCGGAACGGAACACTTCGTGCGCGAGTCCGGCTACATACTAAGCTGGTTTTTTATATTCTTCTTTCTCAGTACGCCCCATCTTTGATAGTAATCGATTTTCAATATCAATTTCATAAACATTGTGTGTAACGATTAAACATATAGCTTTTCTGAGGTTTTATAAGAAATAATCATGTATAATAAAATATTTATTTTTATACTTTGTATCGAATAATACACAAACAAAGTCTATGTTATCGTTGATTTTCATCCTGTCTCGTCTGAAAGTTGGAAATTTTGAAATTGGCGTAATTGTCCAACTTGCACGACTGTTTGTTAACAATGTAGAATGTTGAATTAACAATCGTTATTTTTGTTTCGATTTCCATAATAGTTTGGAATACGTAGAATAGGGGCCTGATTGTTTTTTTTTTCCTATTGGTGGCAACAAATGAGGATGAGTTCAAAAACAAATAGAATAGTATACCCTGAAATGAAAATTGATAATCTCGATTAGACAGAGATGGAAATATACCCACTTAAAACGTTTCAAATTTGAGAATCGTAAACATGACACGGAAGCGTCAAGAACGGAGGTTGCACATGTGGAACATTAAAATATGATTTTGTATTAAATATTTTTTGGGATTAACATACAGTTTTACAAAAAAA